AGAGCAATCAAATCGATGAGCACCCTTCTCCCCTAGGGCCTAAATGTTAGTCAAGGAGTCCCTAAATTCATGGTCACACAAGGTAACTTTCATGAAGTAGAACCAAGGCTCATGACTCAAGTCACAGCTAATTAAGCGCTATAATACCATGCACAGGGCAATAACAATGCAATTCCAAGAAATAAATTAGGAATGTTATTGACAGCTCACAAAATGTAAAAGTGATGTCCATAAGAATCAACTAGCAATCAGATGAAAAAAAATCAATAGGTACAGCATTTACTGCAAAAATAATGGCATTTGCCATAAGAGTATGAAGCCTTCATGAATTGTTTGGAAGCCATGCGGAAGCTTCATAAGTGGGTACACAATGTCAATGGTGGAAAAGGTGGCAATGTCTTGCTCTCACCAGGAAATAGTCTTGCTCTCACCCTTATCAATGAGGTCTAATAACTGGGGATAAAACCTCAAGGACATTTAGTCAAACCCCAGTCCCCATAAGCTCTGGGCATGGGCAAATTTAACTGAAGTGTAAGAAGAGGTTTCCTTTCCTGTCTGACTCATATACACCTGCAATTCAGTACCTCAGTTCAGTGACCTATGTGCAGTTAACCAATGATGCCTTTGCCAATAAATGCCAGCAAGAAACTTTCATTCACAGAGGGAGCAATGCCAAGTTTGGCTCATTCTTCATTATGCCTGAAGGAGTTACTCTGCGACATCAGGGCCCTGTTTCACCGGTGATAGCAGCACGCTGCTACCACACGTGTCAAATTGGGTTTCCATGGAAACATCTACAAACCAAGGCGTCGTCAAACTGTGTGATGTCATCAAATATTGCTGCTAACATCTTCACGCCGTGCGAATGTATCAAACGCATTCAACGAGACAGCAACTCTGTTCCATACGTAGCTATGAAAAAGCTCACGGATTATATGAAACGTCATAGTGTGAGGTCATCACATTACGTCAGCTCGCGCAATTTGATAGTAGCGTGCTGCTATCACCAGTGAAACAGGGCCCAGTTGAAAATCCAGATCTTCCCAGCAGTTTTGAGGCCCAAGGCCCGAGGGTCAGGTAGTCTTCCTCGGGTGGCCAATCATGAATGGCTGGAATAGACTCATCCAAACAAACAAAGTGGTTTAGGCACTCAATAACTACTCCAAAGTTCATTTCAAAGTGAGACTGGATGCAAACTGGTCTCATATCAGATGTTCCAATCCATACCTAGCACTGATGTACTTTATGCCATAAATAGCATGGAGTTCAATAAGATCACCAAACAGGCAGAACAGGTGCCACAGCCATGACTGAAAATGCTTAAAAATCTTGACTGTAAGGCACAGTAGATGGGAGCTGCCAGGGGCTTGATGAGTCTGGCATTATATATACATAGGTCTGACAAAAATCCTGAAAATATAAGGTCAACTGAAAAAAGAATATCAGACAAGACCATCAGCCATGGATCAATATTTTTCTCAGTTTATCACGTTTTAAGCAATGATTCATTGGCATGTCAAGACAAAATCCTAAGCTTTCAAAATACGTTTCGCATATCATACATTATTTGAGCGATTCATTGGCAAGGGCTGACATAAATAAAAAATTATGTCAATATAAATTGCACTTACTACAGTATATAGAGAACGAAGTAGAAATCACGGTATGTGCAACAGGCACAGTGTACGGCAAGGCCGTATACACATAGGTGTACGGTAATTATAGGTGTACGGCATTATAGGTGTACGGTATTAAGTGTATATGTACGGTAATTGGGGTATATGCTAGATTTTTATTGCTACCTATGCTAGGCAGCAAAATAACATTATCCAGAATCGGTTTACATACCCCGCGTCAGCGTTCGATGTTCGATGTCTCTCACGGCAAAGATTCTACGTCGTCCGGCCAATCACGTTCCATAGCCGCAGCCGAGCCCCCACTGACCTTGAACGGGATTGGCCGGACGACTTAGAGAATCTTCGTCGTCCGAGACATCGAACGCGGGGATAGCCTTGAGCCCCCTGCTTGAGCCATCGCATCGCTAGCCGCGTCCAGGGTATATAGAACAAACGGGTACACCAACGACGCGGAAAGCGCCCATTTTACGTGGATGAGTTACATGGTAGGTGATATATTTTTTGAATATGGAAAAAATAGAGTATTCTATGCTGACGAGTAAAGCAAATCATAAAGCAGTATTTTTAATTATGTACCAGAAATAGCCTACTGACCATAGCTTAAAACTTAGTCTAAAGTTAGTTGAAAAAGCGTATAGTTGATACTAAGATGGAAGGAATCAATGGAAGGCGGAAATGGCGCAGCTGTTTCATTCTTAAATTGTGTTCGCAAGCAGGATTTACGTAATGCTAGCGACATCTATTAATGTAATCGGGGACGCTGATTGGCTGAACGAGTCCTGAGCAGTATCACTAATGTACGCCAGTACAGGGTTGAGGCAATGTGCGCATGCGCAGGAACTTGTGCTCTCATGGAGGGGCTTTCGGTACCTCGGGCAGCGCCAAATGCTTTTGGACCTGTTATGCCTCCGCATCGAAAAACGCCAGATAAAAAGGTTTTAGAGGAAGCTTGAGGCTACCTTTCCCCACAATAATATTGGCACTTATCTTTTAGCTTACGTGTGAGGCTCGCTTGAAAAAGGTCGATTTAACATGGAAACCCTATGGGGTAGTAGTTTTTGAGCGCCCATTTGGCCTAATGCTACCAACTGTTACTGGCTACCCCTGAGCCGCGTCAGCCTTTCGAAACAGACGCGCTACTTATGTAAAAGTGGTACCATTCGACGCAGTTGGGATTTCAGTATATGACGTTTTCTGTAAATATGATACAATTTGTTTTTATAATTGTCATTTTTAAACATCAATGCAATGTATATTCTTTAGCATACAATATGTATTAATTTTATACTCTATTGATCAAACACGATATTTTCTGACCATTCTTATTTATGAATACGTCATCAGTTTAATTCACACACTTATTGCATCTTCTGTCGTTTTTTTGCCACAACACGTGGGCGTGCGACTGCGATCTCTGTGGAGTTTTCTGGAGGGTTTGGTTGGTATAATAGAGCAATAATCTTGATTTTCTGGTTTTTATAGCTCGAACCCGGGCTCTGCGTCTGTCAGGGTTGACGGATCAAATCGATAGAACTTCTCAAAACAGCTTTTGGCGTTCACCATCGAGGAGGAGCAAAGCCCACGGTAAGAACAAATCGAAATCACTCGGCCATTGAGCTTTTTGACACAAAACAGTATGAATTGGGAGCGGGAACGCAATACGCAAGCAACACAAAATGTTTCAGATGTGACAGCCCAGGGCTGCATTATTCTTGCATTATGTGCAAGATGCTGCAATAATAGCTGAAATAAATGGCATTACTAAATACTTAAACTATTTCTGCTTCTTTTACTGGGCAGGCTGCCAAACACCATTGAACAGCTATCCCTAGGGATAGTCCCATCTGAAACATTTGTGTTGCTTGCGTATTGCGTTCCCGCCTCCCAATTCATACTGTTTTGTGTCCAAAAACTCAATGGCCGAGTGATTTCGATTTGTTCTTACCGTGGGCTTTGCTCCTCCTCGATGGTGAACGCCAAAAGCGTTTTGAGAAGTTCTATCGATTTGATCCGTCAACCCTGACAGACGCAGAGCCCGGGTTCGAGCTATAATAAACCAGAAAATCAAGATTATTGCTCTATATACCAACCAAACCCTTCCAGAAAACTCCACAGAGATCGCAGTCGCACGCCCACGTGTTGTGGCAAACAAACGACAGAAGATGCAATAAGTGTGTGAATTAAACTGATGACGTATTCATAAATAAGAATGGTCAGAAAATATCGTGTTTTGATCAATAGAGTATAAAATTAATACATATTGTATGCTAAAGAATATACATTGCATTGATGTTTAAAAATGACAATTATAAAAACAAATTGTATCATATTTACAGAAAACGTCATATACTGAAATCCCAACTGCGTCGAATGGTACCACTTTTACATAAGTAGCGCGTCTGTTTCGAAAGGCTGACGCGGCTCAGGGGTAGCCAGTAACAGTTGGTAGCATTAGGCCAAATGGGCGCTCAAAAACTACTACCCCATAGGGTTTCCATGTTAAATCGACCTTTTTCAAGCGAGCCTCACACGTAAGCTAAAAGATAAAGTGCCAATATTATTGTGGGGAAAGGTAGCCTCAAGCTTCCTCTAAAACCTTTTTATCTGGCGTTTTTCGATGCGGAGGCCATAACAGGTCCAAAAAGCATTTGGCGCTGCCCGAGGTACCGAAAGCCCCTCCATGAGAGCACAAGTTCCTGCGCATGCGCACATTGCCTCAACCCTGTACTGGCGTACATTAGTGATACTGCTCACGGACTCGTTCAGCCAATCAGCGTCCCCGATTACATTAATAGATGTCGCTAGCATTACGTAAATCCTGCTTGCGAACACAATTTAAGAATGAAACAGCTGCGCCATTTCCGCCTTCCATTGATTCCTTCCATCTTAGTATCAACTATACGCTTTTCAACTAACTTTAGACTAAGTTTTAAGCTATGGTCAGTAGGCTATTTCTGGTACATATAATTAAAAAATAACTGCTTTATGAATTTGGCTTTACTCGTCAGCATAGAATACTCTATTTTTTCCATATTCAAAAAATATATCACCTACCATGTAACTCATCCACGTAAAATGGGCGCTTTCCGCGTCGTTGGTGTACCCGTTGTTCTATATACCCTGGACGCGGCTAGCGATGCGATGGCTCAAGCAGGGGGCTCAAGGCTATCCCCGCGTTCGATGTCTCTCGGACGACGAAGATTCTCTAAGTCGTCCGGCCAATCCCGTTCAAGGTCAGTGGGGGCTCGGCTGCGGCTATGGAACGTGATTGGCCGGACGACGTAGAATCTTTGCCGTCTGAGAGACATCGAACATCGAACGCTGACGCGGGGTATGTAAACCGATTCTGGATAATGTTATTTTGCTGCCTAGCATAGGTAGCAATAAAAAATCTAGCATATACCCCAATTACCGTACACCTATATACACTTATAATACCGTACACCTATAATGCCGTACACCTATAATTACCGTACACCTATGTGTATACGGCCTTGCCGTACACTGTGCCTGTTGCACATACCGTGATTTCTACTTCGTTCTCTATATACTGTAGTAAGTGCAATTTATATTGACATAATTTTTTATTTATGTCAGCCCTTGCCAATGAATCGCTCAAATAATGTATGAATATGCGAAACGTATTTTGAAAGCTTAGGATTTTGTCTTGACATGCCAATGAATCATTGCTTAAAACGTGATAAACTGAGAAAAATATTGATCCATGGCTGATGGTCTTGTCTGATATTCTTTTTTCAGTTGACCTTATATTTTCAGGATTTTTTGTCAGACCTATGTATATATAATGCCAGACTCATCAAGCCCCTGGCAGCTCCCATCTACTGTGCCTTACAGTCAAGATTTTTAAGCATTTTCAGTCATGGCTGTGGCACCTGTTCTGCCTGTTCTGGTGATCTTATTGAACTCCATGCTATTTATGGCATAAAGATACATCAGTGCTAGGTATGGATTGGAACATCTGATATGAGACCAGTTTGCATCCAGTCTCACTTTGAAAATGAACTTTGGAGTAGTTTATTGAGTGCCTAAACCACTTTGTTGTTTGGATGAGTCTATTCCAGCCATTCATGATTGGCCACCCGAGGAAGACTACCTGACCCTCGGGCCTTGGGCCTCAAAACTGCTGGGAAGATCTGGATTTTCAACTGGGCCCTGTTTCACTGGTGATAGCAGCACGCTACTATCAAATTGCGCGAGCTGACGTAATGTGATGACCTCACACTAATGACGTTTCATATAATCCGTGAGCTTTTTCATAGCTACGTATGGAACAGAGTTGCTGTCTCGTTGAATGCGTTTGATACATTCGCACGGCCGTGAAGATGTTAGCAGCAATATTTGATGACATCACACAGTTTGACGACGCCTTGGTTTGTAGATGTTTCCATGGAAACCCAATTTGACACGTGTGGTAGCAGCGTGCTGCTATCACCGGTGAAACAGGGCCCTGATGTCGCAGAGTAACTCCTTCAGGCATAATGAAGAATGAGCCAAACTTGGCATTGCTCCCTCTGTGAATGAAAGTTTCTTGCTGGCATTTATTGGCAAAGGCATCATTGGTTAACTGCACATAGGTCACTGAACTGAGGTACTGAATTGCAGGTGTATATGAGTCAGACAGGAAAGGAACACCTCTTCTTACACTTCAGTTAAATTTGCCCAGTGCCCAGAGCTTATGGGGACTGGGGTTTGACTAAATGTCCTTGAGGTTTTATCCCCAGTTATTAGACCTCATTGATAAGGGTGAGAGCAAGACTATTTCCTGGTGAGAGCAAGACATTGCCACCTTTTCCACCATTGACATTGTGTACCCACTTATGAAGCTTCCGCATGGCTTCCAAACAATTCATGAAGGCTTCATACTCTTATGGCAAATGCCATTATTTTTGCAGTAAATGCTGTACCTATTGATTTTTTTTTCATCTGATTGCTAGTTGATTCTTATGGACATCACTTTTACATTTTGTGAGCTGTCAATAACATTCCTAATTTATTTCTTGGAATTGCATTGTTATTGCCCTGTGCATGGTATTATAGCGCTTAATTAGCTGTGACTTGAGTCATGAGCCTTGGTTCTACTTCAGTGAAAGTTACCTTGTGTGACCATGAATTTAGGGACTCCTTGACTAACATTTAGGCCCTAGGGGAGAAGGGTGCTCATCGATTTGATTGCTCTCTTTCTTGGTACATGAATAGAGATTAGAGTGTCTTTTGGCTTCTGACCTGAAGCATGACCCATTTGTCATTTTTCTGTCCAACAGGCAGTGCTATCAATTGAAATAGAGCGTAGCCTACCTAACTAGAGGAATATGCCAGATAAATCATGCAGCATTTGATGCCATTCTGAGAGGCAATAACAGCTCAGATGTCTGGTCGGAAGACTGACAGACATGGTTCTGAACGACGGAAACGGTCCCGAGATGGTGACAGTCCGAAATCCCGGCACACGACTCACAGACATGACCGAGGACGCAGCTCAGATGATCGAAAACGGGGCTCAGATCGTCAAGAAAATGGGTCTGTAAGCCAGAAGGACAACACTGATCGACTGAGGGATAGCTCGAGCCACAGGAGAGATAGTTCGAGCCGCCGAAGGGAAAGCTCAAGTCCTTGGTGCGACGGCTTAGATCGCCGGAGGGACGTCTCTGGTCGCCGGAGGGACAGCTATGATCGCCAGAAGGACAGCTATGATCGTCGCAAAGAGGCTTCTAGCTACAGGAGGGAGAACTATGATTCCCGGAGGGACAGCTCTGATCGCCGGAGGGACAACTCTCCCAGCCACAAGCGCGCTCGGTTAGATCGCTCTCCAAACGCTCGTCGTTCTGTTTCCCCGCCCTCCTCTGCCTCTGCTCGCCCATTCAGTGAGGCTCGTGAACGTGCCTTTCTCACGGACTACCTCCGCTCGAGTGAATGTCCTCTGAAGCCCGGCTCGGAGGAGGCTACCGGCTTCTGGCCGTTCCACGCGCTGTACGTGCGGCGACTGGCGGCGGCCGGCGTCGAGCGGGGCCGCTCCCCGCCTCCGCCGAAACCCTCGCGAAAGGTGACCGAGCCGTTCCCCCTGCCGGCCTACGACCTCCGACTGGCCAACCCGCTGTTCGTGGAGCGCAGGGTGAGGGACAGACGCGACGCGCGCGAGCTGGAGAGGCAGGAGCGCGAGCGGCGGGAGCCGGAGGCCCGCAGAGGACGAGAGGTGCTCGCCGCCTACCTGCACTTCCTGCAGAAACAGAAGTTTGCCAAACTGAAGAAGCTGCGGGAGGCACAGCGGAACCTGCCAATTTATCAGCACAGGTCAGTCAGATACAAAAATGGACGACTACTAACGTGAATTTTTGGCTGTGAATCTCACATTTCATACATTAAAACCATGTTTGCTTTGATTCATGCTGTCCTTCGTTTATGTTCATATTCCCTTCAAACTAATTTTATGTTTCCTATCACCTGCTGATTGATGTTTCTTTTTCACAGTGTCTTTACTTCTGTTATCGTTCCCCTAGCGGATGTTCGGCGCGTGTGACCAGTCTGGACGGTCTGTAACCAAGCTCTTCCCTCCCCGCCCCTTTGTGCAGAGAGGAGATCCTGGCGGCTGTGCGAGACAACCCGGTGGTGATTGTGGCGGGCGACACGGGCTGCGGCAAGTCCACCCAGCTGCCACAGTACCTGCTGCAGGCCGGATACAACAGCATAGGTAGGGTAGCCGGGGCTGGTCTCGTCTGGGCTCTGGCCCTTGACACTTATGTGCTTCTGAGGCCCTTGTTCGCGATAGTTCGTCATATCTAAAAGCGTTGTGTTACATTAAGTTTTGCTTGATGAGCTGTGTACCTGTCTCCTCAATCATGTGTCTGAAATAATATTCCCGTTTTTATCTAAAAGATAATACCGTAATTTGCGACTCTGGTGGATTCTTCAGGGTAGCGAGGAATGAGAGCGCGTTGCTGGCTATCGAATGAGCTATTATTCTTTCAACGAGGAATTTGAACAAACTATGTTTATTGGACGTATACTCGCACGCTATCGAACTCTGATTGCGATATTACGTATACAAATAAGTAACTATATTGCGCCCTAGTGACAGTATTTTCGTATTTAGTGGCAATCTAAAATTTTGCGAAAAGCGTATGACCACGGCTGTATCATTTTGTCGATAAAAGACTAACTAATTCGTCCGCCCTCCCCACGGTTCTCCATCGTCTTGCAGCGTGCACGCAGCCGCGTCGTATCGCCTGCATTGCGCTGTGTCAGCGCGTTAGTCACGAGACACTGCAGCAGTATGGCGACCAAATAGGCTACCAGATCCGCTTCGAGAAACGGCGCACGGCCCGCACACGGGTGGTGTTCCTCACGGAGGGACTTCTGCTCAGACAGGTGAGGAATGAGGACAGAGGGACTGTCGGCCCTCATGGAGGGATTCTACAGGGTGGCGAGGAATGAGAACACGTTGCTGGTTATCAAGTGAGCTATTATTCCTTCAACGAGGAACTTAAACAAACTATGTTTATTGGACGTATACTCGCACGTTATCGAACTCTGATTGCCATATTACCTATAGGTACAAAAAGATAACTATATTGCGCCTTAGTGACAGTATTTTCGTATTTAGTGGCAATCTATGTCGCTATAAGCATTGCGTGAAGTTTCACAAACCATGCTACGACAGTTGCAGACGACATAACCTACCCTCACATATCGTGTGTTCAGGTGTCGGCCGATCCGCTGCTCAGCCAGTATGACGTCATCGTTCTGGACGAGGTGCACGAACGTCACCTTCAGGGCGACTTCCTCCTGGGTGTGATGAAGTGTCTGGTGCGCCAGCGTCCCGAGCTCAGACTGGTGCTAATGTCTGCCACCATAAACATTCAGCTGTTCAGGGACTATTTCCACGGAAAGGCGCCGGTGAGGAAGAGGTAGAGGGGCTGGGCAGAGGGGAGGAGCGGGACAGAGGGAAGGAGAAATGGATCACAGTGGGGTATCTTAATCTCAGCTACTTTGTTGTAAAGTTCAGCTCTGAAGTTCATGTGTAGCGGTTTAATTAGTTTCTGCCTCCTGCTGAGGTAATGTACCAAAAGTTTGTAAGTGGGTCGTTGACTCCGCTGTAAGATTTAGTGTTGTTTGGTCGCTGCGGCACCTGCTGTGAACCTGCTGAAAAACTCAAATGACCGATGTTGATACACTGCCACCGCTCGCCGCCACTATTTATCCAGCGTTCACTGACCTTGTGGCGCTGTCTTCAGGTGATCCAGATTCCGGGCCGGCTGTTCCCGATCCAGCTCAACTACCGGCCAATATCGGTAGTCGAGGCTGTGGCCAGGTGAGAGCTGGGGACGGGCAGGGGTGTGGTGTAGGATGGCTGGGGACGAGCAGAGAGGGTTGAGACTCAGCTACCGGCCAATATCGGTAGTCGAGGCTGTGGCCAGGTGAGAGCTGGGGACGGGCAGAGAGGGCTGAGCTAGCTGGGGACGGGCAGCTGATGTACCTATATTCTCTGAGGACTGGGAAGAGGCTGAGATTCAACTACCGACCAATATCGGGCAGAGGTTTATTCGAGAAGGTCGGGGGCGTAGTTACCTTTTCTGGCGTACGCTACTCTGCCTGTCTCTACCCTTGATGTCTGCCCTTGACCCTGCCGATCTGTGTAAGTGACCTCTCCCTCCCTCTTCTCTCCGCCCAACAGCTCCGGTCGCCTGAACCCGGCGCCGTTCGTGCGCGTGCTGAGTCTGATCGACGACCGGTACCCCGCTGAGGAGCGGGGCGACCTGCTCATGTTCCTCAGTGGTGTGGCCGAGATCACCGCGGTGGCCGACGCGTGCGAGGAGTACGCGCGGCAGGCGGGCCGCTGGATCGTGCTGCCGCTGCACAGTCAGCTCTCCGTGCAGGATCAGGATAAGGTGCGGTCAGGAGAGGGATGAGGAGTGGACAGAGACGTGATAGGATGAGGTCAGGAGCAGGGGAGGAAGGATAGGGGGAGAAGGAACGGGGAATTGGGACAATACGGGAAGGTATGACAGGGCGTCTCAGCGGAGTGCACTGGGAGAGGCCGTAGGTAGCGCCACTGAACGGTGGGGGTGGCAACAGATGGCACTGGACCGCTGTCTGTAGAAGCTTCAGCTGTCCGAAGAAAAACATTTCTGTGTACCATGTTAATTGTTATCATGTTATCATGTTGGTATCATGTTATAGCTTCCTCATTATCAGCTAGTAAAAGTACGTTAGATGCCCAGGTTAGTTATCAGTTATATCAGCAATTATCGCCTCCTCAAGGCATTTTATGCCAGCATTCTCTATCAACACAGTCAAATGTGATCGGACTCTCCAGATTTCCCCTAAACCCCTGTCCCCGCCCTCTGTGCACAGGTGTTTGCTGTGGCGCCGGACGGCGTGCGTAAGTGTATCGTGTCGACCAACATCGCCGAGACGTCGGTGACGATTGACGGCGTGCGCTTCGTCGTCGACTCGGGCAAGGTGAAGGAGATGAGCTACGACAGCGTGACGAGGATGCAGCGTCTCAAGGAGTTCTGGGTTAGCCAGGCCAGCGCCGAACAGCGCAAGGGGCGCGCAGGTAGGTGGAAAAGGGGCATCGGAGGGATGGTATTGAGGGAGAAAGGGAGCGACCCTTCAGGCTGGGAGATGTGTTTTAAAGTTTTTTAGTGTAGTTGATAAGAACTGATGGGGTTATTATTTACTTGTGACGATAATGGAGTTTTGACTTGACACCCCCCCCCCCCCCCTCAGGCCGCACGGGCCCGGGCGTGTGCTACCGCCTGTACTCGGAGGACGAGTTCGACATGCTAGCGCCGTACGCCACACCCGAGATCCAGCGCGTGCCCCTGGAGAGCCTGGTACTGCAGATGGTGGCACTGGGCCTGCCCGACGCCCGCCGGTTCCCGTTCCTAGACCGGCCGGCTGAGGATAGCCTGGAGGACGCCATCAGGTCACTGGTGCAGCAGGTTAGTAGAAGGGCAGGTTAGGTCACTGGTATAGGAGGCTAGTGAGAGGTCAGGTCACTGTTGTAGTGGTTCAGTGAGAGGTCAGTTGACTGGTGCAGCATATTAGTGAGGACTCAGGTCATGTCAGCAGATCAGTGAGTGGCCAGGTCACTGGTATAGTACGTCAGTGAGAGGCTATGTTGTCCAACTGCCTTATTCCATACTCACCCAAAAAAAAAAAAAAATGAGTGAGTTGCTGATATTTTAGGAATGATTTGTCACCATATGTAATGCCTAAAACATCATGGATCTCGATCACTGAGTATGGCGTATATGTATTCTGATCCGCGTGCCGCCTGCAGGGTGCTCTGACCGCTGACGAGCAGCTGACCCCGTTAGGTCAGATGCTCAGTCAGCTCCCGGTGGACGTCACCGTCGGGAAGATGCTGGTGCTGGGCTCGGTGCTGCACCAGATGGGACCGGTCCTATCGGCGGCGGCCGCGCTCAGCGTGCAGACGCCGCTCACCAACCGAGCCTTCCGCGACCCCGACTGTCTGGTAAGGGACGGACGGGCGGGATGAGTTGATATACTAGAAAGGGACAGGGCGTTAGGTGTGGGGTGAGGGACGGACGGGATGGAACGACTGGCTGGTGAGCGACTGGCCAGAATAGATGTGTGGTGAGGGGACATGACGGTAGATGTCTGATAAAGGGCGGGACGGGAAGGCTGTTTGGTGAGGGACGGCACAAGTGGTAGGCGATGGACGGGACGGGATGGTTGTGTGGGTGTGAGGTCATGGTGTTAATATACCATATTTCCAACTAGCATTTCGTCTCGAATACTTAATGCAGCAGTCTCACGCTACGAGTGTGCTTAATCATACGTGTTATACTTAACCCAGTCCCACAATCTGACTCTAACTCTGTTTACTGTCGGCCCTCCCCACAGGCGAACCTGAAGCCGCTGTTCAGCAGTCACGGTGACTCGATCACCCTGCTAGAGGCCTTCGTCAGCTGGCTGCAGGTCAAGGTCACCGGCAAGGTCAGGTCACGGGCCTGGTGCGGCGAGCGGGGTCTGGAGGAACAGCGCTTCTACGAGCTGGTCAAGCTGCGCCGTCAGTTCATGACCATTATGGAGGTGAGGAGTGCTATGGGGCAATGGGGTGAGTGATGCCTGCATTTGTCTTCTGTTTTGATGGCTTATAACGGTGGTTGTTGAGTTGAATTGTGGCACTATTCAGTTGTAAAACTTGTTAAAATTTGGTGAACTAGAATGAAATAGTGCTATGTTTAGTTGAATAATTATGTCGACCAGTATGTATATGCCTGTGAAATTTGCTAAATAACGTTCTGACGCTAACGGGTAATCAGGCTGTGTAGTGTGTATTAGGCTGCACCAGCTGTCGTTGCCTTTGTTTTGACATCGTTAAGCTCATGTTTTACTTTCCATCAGCGACTGACTTTCTAGTTCCCACATGAGAACTGGGTTGCCGACCATCGATAACCCACACTCCCCTATAGGAGTCGCGCCTGCTGCCGAAGCCCGCCCGTCTGGTGAGCACCGCCGACCGGGTCCGGCGGCACGGCGAGCTCTCCCAGCTGCGAGCCGCGCGCCGCGAGCTGCAGGAGAGCCAGCCGCGCCGCCGGCAGCTGGCTCGCGGCCCGCACGGCGCAGGAGACTCCACCGAGCAGCAGCGGGATGGGGACGTGGCGGATATTGAGTTCCAGATGAGAACGGGCGCACGTGATCTTCAGGTACGGGAACTCGGGGAGTTGTGGGAGGGGGAGTTTGAACTCGCTCGTGGGGGGATTTAACCCGCGCCCTGCTGGGGGGGGGGGGTGTTTGAACACCCCCCCCCCTTGTGGTTTTTCGCGAATATCTCAAAAACGGCGGCGCGGAGCGCCGCCGTTTTTGGTACACCTTATCATACATCAATTCTACACATGTTGTGAAAATTTCAGACCAAGGTCATTCAAGGTCAGGTCACCAGGTCACTTGAAGTGACCTCACCTCATAAAAAGTTTCAATGTCTGTCATAGCTACACCGAGTGACCGATCGCTTTGAAACTTTCAGCGATAGCTAAGAGCAATAGCATGTACAAAATGTATATCTCAGAATTTTGATATCGATGACCTAAGGTCAGGTCAATTTTGCGACCTCCCCATTATAAGTCAATGGGAGAAAAATGAAATGCGTCTCTTTTGGACGAAAGACATTATAAACACTCACAAACACCGAATTACAAGTTGTTTAGACACAATAAACATGAAAATTGTGTCCGTGACCCTTGTTTATGCCCTGAGGTCATCTTAGGTCACGAATGGTATCTAACAGTTTTTCGCAAATAACTTTTGATAGAGGCATGTTAGAGCGATGAAAATGCCTTATATGTGTTCAGCTCGACGATACGGATCGACTGATATGCAACATGACCCTTTCCGGTCAGGTCATGACCTTGACCTGAGGTCAAATTTTCAAGTTGACCTTTCAAGGTTAAGTTATAGTTCATTCGATGCGTCTTGACGAGAGGAACACGATGCCGGTTAAAGTAAGCTCGGCAAAGGCTTGGGTCAAAAGTTATTGCAGAAAAACTGTTTCCGAAAAAATCGGCTATATTTGCAGTTTTTGTCCCCTGCAGGCAAAACCGTTGACGTTAGGTCAAATCTGAGAGAATTACTCAGAAAGGGCGTTAATAGGGCTATCGAATGCGCTTTTCCGCGGCGCTGTAGCTCTATTGGTTCCCGAGTTATGCGCTGGCTTCTTGGAAATTTTCGCCATTCGACCTGGAAATCGGCGAAATTTTGCCTTCAATGACCTCTGGTGACCTTACCTTTGACCTGACCAAAAAATTGACCGAAGTGATTTCGTCATTATTTTTTACGCTCTTTCCAACGCCGCCTTCCGCGTATCGCTACGTGGCCCAGGAGCCGAGTTAGAAGGGGGGGTGTTCAAACACCCCCCCCCCAGCAGGGCGTGGAAATCCAGGACCCCCAGCAGGGCGCGGGTTAAGAGCGGTATGATTTGTGTGCATGGATGTAACGCGAGGTTGATCTTACTGGCGTCATGACTGATGAATGTGAACCAGTGAGATGAATCTGAGATGAAGCTAAATATGTTGCAAGTCACGTTCTTGAAATTCTCCCCGCACGTCATGATTAACGGCCACTTTGTGGCGGTCGATGTGGTATGCTGCAGGAGCTTCTTCAGGCGAGTAAGCTGAAATCATACCAAGATCAAACGCTGCTGAAAATCATCCTCTGCAGCGGACTTTACCCGAATTTCGCTCTCCCAGACCTCCACAATAATTACAAGGTAATCTCGGGCTCTCGGGCTTGGAGAGAAAGTGTTTTGCCGCGTTTGAGTGGCTTTCTTGGTAAGACTTTCTGATTCATTATTTACTTTAGCCGGGATTATAACTAGACATTGCTGCTTAGTTCACATGCATGGATTTGAAAATGTTTGAAATCATGCTTTTCTAACAGTCGGAATTTACATGGTTACTAACTACTAAGTGTCATTGTTTGTCTTTGCTTGTTGTCCAGAAGCTTGTTGCCCCTTTGAGGTTTTCCAGAAGCAATAAAACTTTATATACTTTTTACACGACCCAATTGCATTATATCCTTGGTGTCTGAAATTCTTTCGGAATCTGCGTCTTCTAACAATCATTCACCACAACGCTCGCATATGTAATATACCTATGACTCCCCACCCCTCCCCGCCGTCTGCCCCCAGCCGGGCTCCGATCAGGTGTTCCACAGCGCCAGCAAGCCGTTCGTGGTGCTGCACCCCAACTCTGTACTCTCCTTCTCGCCGGAGACCCTGGAGATAGCCGATAGCGACGTGCGGGTGACGGCCGGGCCGCGGCCGCCGCGGCACAGCGTCACCAGCGACAAACACCAGCTGCTAGCCTTTGTGTGAGTGGTGAAAGGGGTGGGGGTGGGGGTGGGTGCGATGGCTGATGGGGATTGGGGAGGGACTGGGTATATGACTGAGGGTGGGTTTGGTGGGGATTAGAATGACTGAATTTGGCTGAGGGTGCGTTGAAATGAAGAAGCCTAGTTCATGGGTTGATGCATATGGGAGAAGTCTCAACAATAATTTAGCCCATCATGTCTCATTTACGAGAACTCTGTTGTGAAACTTGTAATGGATGCTGTCTTAGAGGTGATTCAGGTTTCTTGGATGGCAATAATAATTACTCATTGAGCTAACGAGCAGAGGCAGACCCTTTCAGCATATAATGGATTCGTATTAAATGTCTGCTTCTATATACAATGCACAGTGGACATGCCATCTTCAGACTTAATATGTGGCTTATGGGATTTTTTTTTTAAAAGGATTGTGGCTAGCTTAGATGTTTCATTCACGACATTCATGAAATCGTATCTTTACCATCCAGGCTATCCGAGTCCTTCAGCCCAATCACTGCTGTGGCAGACGATGTCACAGATCATGTGTTCGTTTCTGACCTCTGCCAGGATCCCTCTGGAGACGACTAAGCCGTATGTGATAGCTGTAGCACGTTACAGTGACCGTGTCTGACTGTTCTGACTGTGACCACGGCCGGCAGGACCCTGCTGGAGACGTCCAAGCCGTATGTGACGGGCGTCACTCGCGTGCCGGCGCTGCAGGTGGCGCTTCTGTTTAGCGGGACCATCGATACCGACCTCAGCTGCCGCAGGTAAAATACTACAGATACTACAGTACTACAGACACTACAACACTACAGACATTGCAGCACGGATACCGACCTCAGCTGCTGCCGCAGATAACACACTATTTAGACACTACAACACTTCGGACGCTACAGACATACAGACGCTGTAGACGCTACAGACGCTATAGACACTACAGACACTTGAGGATCGACAGGAACCTCAGCTGCCGCAGGCTGTGCTTTGTACAGGGTGTCCCAGAGTTGACCGAACACTGTTTATCAGCGTATAAGATGAGGAAAAAATAATTGCACATTTGTATGCTTGTCGTCCAATATAGTCAACTAGGCCAGCAACAAAATGACATATGCAATAGACGCGTTCTTTACAAGATTAGTCGGCAATTGCGGATATGAAACCCCATGCTGGTTTCAGTTGTTTTACGGGTCTTCCGAAACTGGTTGTAGGCCGGTTTCCATTGACCTCTTGCCGGAAGATACTGCAGATATTTTCAATTAAATTTACATCCAAACCGTTCCCGGGTAATAAGGCATTCTCCCCCAAAACGAAAAATTCTGCCCACACCACTGTTACGTTGTTTTTGGTATCGGAAATAGAGAACCTCCATGCCTGAACATGGCGCGACCTTTGGATTCCAGCAGATTTGGTTTCCAGAACGAACCCGTTCATGGCCATTCGGCTGACGCGCGACGGCAGCCAGTTTTTGTGATGCTAGAATGTGACCGCAGTGGTACTCTCTTGTAACAGTCATGTTTGGAGCATCACATGAAGCTGAATGAGTGAACTATGGCTCAAAATGTCTCACACTTTAATTTTCGATGAGTGTCTGTCCGTCTCCGCTGTTGTAGCGTTGTCGCCATCTGACGTCCAAACAATACTTCTCTTGGCGGTGCAAAGGGCAGAATACCTCAATTGGACATTCGTAAGACCACAAAATGTGTTTCATTTCACTTTCGTATCCAATGTGATATGATTTTGGCTAACTTGCAGCGATTTGCGCTGCCTTTTTGTTAGTTTTGGCATCCTTTTCATTCCAAAGGCCCCAAATTCCATATTTTGTCGACGATAGGGGTGAAAAGCACATTGATGTTTTGTAGCTAGTCCTGACCGGTTGTTAAGCTAGCTTGCAGGTAGATCGGTGACGTTTGCTGACCATATAATGGCAACCACCCGCTTGACTGGTACGTGCTCCGTTTTGGCCACGCCCAGGCTGGTCAATCATGTCATACCTTGCTCTCTCTGGCTTTGCTCGCTGATGTAATGCGCTTTGCTTACTCTTACCTGCTTGCAGATGAGCTGCTGGAGCTATCCTGAAGGAACCATGCCGAAAGTCCGTCTACAAAGTTCAGAACTGCAGTTGATTCACCATGGTTGCCTTTTGGTGGCTTATGCTAAAAACGGAAAGGGACTACTATTTGCTGACTATGTATAATAATTGACTTGAGTCGTGACCGGTCAACAAAAGCGTACTGTCTCTTAGCTCGATAGCTAAGGGTTGTCTTATAAACGTATGAAGCTTCTATCTCATTAGAATCGGGCGTAATCGTACTTTTGGCCAGAAAATAAGTGTTCGATCAATTCTGGGACACCCTGTAGACAATGTAAACGCAATATAACACACACAGTCACTACGCGCTTCATCGGTCATTCTAAAACACTGCAATGACCTCAGATGCCGCAGGAGATAGGAGACCAGACACTGTCAGCCATCACAACACCACACAAACGCAGGTGTGACAGCACATCTCTAAAGCTCGTGAAAACAGCTTTCAGGCGTACGATAACATTATCCAGCTGTAATTAGCGGGACAATGCACCTTCACTACCGGACGCAATCTGTTGATTCATTTCTATACTTGGACAACACGTACCTTGCGTCATTAAATGAAGGATCATGATGTTTTCACCATTTGTTCTTATATTTCACACATCAAAAGTAGTTCACTTGTACCATCAGACGCACAATGAAATGGCAAAACTGAAAATACCAAACAATGCATCATTCGCTGCCATACGAAGCATAGCCGATCATCAGAGGAGATGTTCAAGATGAGTTCCACCGCGCTGCCTAGTCATTGGTAGCCTGGCTTGCTGCAGGTTTCGTCGGCGCCGGGTTTCGTCCAGAGATTTTGTCAAAATGTAGGCCTCTACGCAAAACGACCTCTCTTCAGTTGTTCACATCGTAGGATAAATGTTTGACCATTTTCAAGCGTGCCAAGATGTGCTCTATCACTTCATGAAATATCAAAACATTCGCACGTGCGGGACAAAAAAGAGATAAAAATATTTGATGATCCTCCATTTAATGACACCCGGTAGTTGGACAATCCGGTCCAAGTGTGCTGTCGCGCATATGCTCGAAATTGGCGATAGTCTACTCGAGGACTACTACCCGCCTTTATTGGCGTAGCGATCGACATCTACATCAGTCTTCCATAATCACAATGACCTTCGAACACTTAATCATTCATAGCCCCGGAGATTTACCAAACCACTGAGTAGCTTGAACAAAAGACCGTCGCCATGGTCTGTTGAGTAATTGAAGGCCAGCGTTTCAGTTCTGTTGACTTTTCGGTGCAGCTGCCCGGCTAATTCGCTGCTCACTAAAATGAAACGATCTTCAGACGAATAATGGTGTCCTTTGTTCCGCCAACAGCAGTTGATGACTGCGATTATCATGGACCGTTTTACATAATTCATTTAAGCCACGAACAGACATGTTTCAAGAGTCGTATGTCCGTACATTTGTGAGTCGGTCTCTATCCACCGTTAAATTGTTTACACCCAGACCTGAACGTAGCTGAAAGCTATTTATGCAATGAGAACCCGGCCTCGGCCACCTTTTTATGAAGCACTTAGTACGTGCGTGAGTGAGCATCGTGTTTTATGCGACCACGGTGTATTGTTGAGAAGTTGTAACGTATTACTTACTTTTTGTCCTTCATTATCCGTCTCCACGCTTACATGCAAACCGTTTTTGCGGGGTCGGCTCGCCCACCGTGAAACAGGTAGCGAGTTTGTTGATGCCAATTTAGCTATCCGACCCTTGTTTCCTGGGCCACGTCCGACACATTACTGCCGTAACGAAATAAAACCGTAGGACAGAGCAAAACAACCATAGTTCTTTGTTCGTGATCCCTCAGTGTCCATAACAAAGTTACGGCTGACCATTCGAGTCGATTTAGAGAAGTACGCTCATACTGGCAAGCTGAAACGCTGGATTTCGCTCGTTAAAAAGTAACGTGTTCCAGAGTTTCAGAGTCGTCGTTCATGTTTATGAGCCGAGACTTTTGCAAGTTGCCATTGATTTTTTTATTGTATGCCAAGGCGGCCGTACCACAAACGCGCACATTGTGGGCGGGAAGGGGTGGCCGAAACTGCTCTTTCTTCTCTTCGATGTCTCCTAAACCAAAGCTAGCACTGTGGGACAGCTGCGAACGAGTGGTCCGGAAGGGCTACTCTCCCGGAATTGATGGATTTCGTTCATACTGGCAAAAGGACAGCCATACAGAAACCAGGTCTTTCTGCTACTCAAACTTTGGTAAGCTTAGAACCGGTAAATTCACGAGGGCCGACTCCCCCCCCCCCCCCCCACCTCTACGGTAGCACTGTCATGGGATACCTTTCTATGTCATGCAGCAATGTCACTTATGTCATGCAGCAATATCCTGCAGCTCTGCGTTATATCTAACATTTCAGACTGTAGCCGCGGCGGTCCCCACGCTGTTATTCCATTTTCGCTGAATGGCCCGGTCGCGTGTTGTGGCGCCGGCCGCCTCGGTGAAAGCCGTTTGAAGCTGACACTGCGCAGATAGGCGGCTCATCCCCGTAATACCAGTGCTCCCCGGCCGACTCATTAGCCCCTCGGACGTGTTACGACCGCGGGCGGCCGTCCTATTGATTGTGCTGTGTTTGTGAGTCTCCGTGTGATCCGCCCAGAGGGGCGGGGCGATGGTGGGGTACTGGTCGCTATGGTGTGTGAAATATGGTGAATATTATGGCAGAGACATTTCATCTTGTCCTCACTGTAGTTCAGTTTATGGTGTTTGACCTTGATGATCTGGCCTGTGACGTTTGACCTCACTGTGACCTCCGACCCATATATGACCTCTCACCCCACTGTGACCTCTGTTCCCTCCCCAGCCTAGTCTGTGACCGGTTGCCTTTTGTGACCTGTGTCTCTGTGACCCTGATCCCTGCCCTTTGTCCCCAACTCTGACCTCTGTCCCTCCCCCAGTCTCGTATGTGACCTCCGGCCTCTGACTCTGGCCTCTGCTCCTCCCGCAGTCTGATCTGTAACTGTTGACCTCTGACCTGCGTCTCTGTGACCTCTGTCTCTGTACTCTGACCTCTGCCTCTCCCCCAGTCTGGTCTGTGACCGTTGGGTGGAGTTTCTGGTGTCGGAGCCGGCGGCGGCACAGCAGCTGCTGGCCCGCGCCGTCACCCTGCGCCGCTGGTGGTCACGCCTGCTGCAAACGCGGCTGGACAGTGAGTGTACTCGTTGGGCGGACACGGGTCAAGGGGCTACCTCCGGATCACTGTTGCGCAGACGTGGCGTGGCTCTATCGGATCCCCAAACGGCGCGACTGCCTACCATCTTCATCCGAGGTGGATTTTGATCGGAGGCAGGCGGATTGTGTCTGTCAGAGTTTTTCACATGCTGATGGTATTCGGCGCCTGTTTTGCTTTTGTTTCATTTTGCTGGCAAAGTTATGGTGGGTTTACCGTGAACAAGGCCGCTTTTCACTGAACTTTGCGGTGAACTGAGCAGAACGACTGAAAGTATGAAAGAAGCTTAACTTTGTCTTTGTTGAGCATTGTGGTAGTAAAGTAAAAACTCTGCTTTCATTTTCTTTCTGTAGGCGAAAGTGTCTAATGTTCAGTGGGAAGGTGTCTTAGATGAGCTGCTCTTAGCGGAAAACCAGACTCTCTCGCGAGTCTGGTGGTAGTGTTTTGTGAGTGTAATAAGGTATGCTGATATTTCGTTAGCACCGTTGCCTTTATTACAGAGGCACCGGCCCGCGATACTGCCGACCCCGTAATCATATTACCTTGTGCCTTCATCAGCCTAGCTTGCGCTGGGTTAGGGAAAGTGTGAGTGGAGGTTACTAGGAATAACGATACCGACAGGACTGCCGGCGCCGCGAATAAGAATACTGGCGTACAATTGCGTATGGGAGAGCAGCGGTTCTGTCTAATTAACGGGTTGATTGTGGCCCGTTTCGGTTGTGGAGATGGGATTGTGGTAGGCCTGCTTTTGTCTCACGCTAGAAAAGGCCATGGGTCAACGGCTTTGTTGCTGGGGCCGCCCGAGGCCAGTCGATCTGTTTTCAGCGCTTTACGGCCGGACTAGCGCTGACCTTTCGATAAGCAGCTTAGCGTGCCCGGTGTCGGAGAGTGTCCAGTATACGTCTGTCTCCGTGGCCCGCTCGGCGGATTATGGCGCGGTGTGTGGTGTCACTGTCCACCACAATAATGTCGTTTGGCTTGAAGCGCACCGGTGGTAGTATTGATAATTTGTGTAAGTAATTACAATTTGTACTTAAATAGACCTAATTAATATTGGTAGGTAGTATCACTGCGCTCCGAATTTTTTGTCGTCCTCATTTTTATTTTGCGAAGTGTTCTAATTTCATATGCTGTGCACACCAATTTCCCGGCGTAAATGATATCACCTGTGCACAAACCAGACATCCACTCTACCATCTCTCCCACAGAACTGGGCCCTAAGAAACAAGCCAACCCCCCCCTCCCCCCCCCCCCTCCTGCACCTCTCCCACAGACCTGGGCTCGGTACAACTGCTTTAACCGGAGGACACTGTGCTCACAGGCCCTACAACAGACCGATGCTTGGACACAATATGCACTCACCTCCCTGCTCTCTCCCACAGACCTGGGCTCGGAGGAACAGCACGAACCAGAGGAAGAATCGACGCTGCGCGGTCGGCTGGTGGCGGCGCTGATCGACTTCTTCCACACGGATGTGTTCTACTCTCACAAGCGGCTGGTGCCGGCCGATCTGGACGGTCTCTACTGTCGAGAGCCAGAGGCAGAGACCGACGGACGATTGCCGCCGTTCATCAGATATGACTGGTCAGTGGTGGGGAAGTGGGGCGGGGAGGCTGGACTATGGAGAGGCTACTGGGGAGTGGGGGGAGCCGCTGGAGAGGTGGGGTGGCTGCAGAGGCTACTGGGGAGTGGGGGTGTTGGTGGGGAGGTAGGGGTTTGGGGAGGCTGAAGAGGCTACTGGGGGAGTGGGGAGTCGCTGGGGAGGACAGATAGATCGCCGGGGAGGTGGGGATGGGGAGGTTGTTACCGGGGTCGCAGCGCAGCTTATTACTATCGGTTGGATATTGAGTGACGCGGATTTCCGTCGACTATTGACGTCCCTTGGCGTGAGCCGTGAGACGCTCCGGTTGTCTTATATGGCATCGGGTCGTCCTCTGATCCGGCTCCTTAATGGGTATCGTGCTCACTCGACATGTTACATTCATTTTTATGGCGTTTATTTGCTTTCGCCGTTGATGGAAACATTTTCGGCTTTTCTTCCTAGATATTGTGATTTACCTTTCTACGCACTACTATCAGGTCTTTTGACAGAGATATTTAATTTTCTACCGAGTATCCAGCATTTATTTGACGAAAAGTGTCTGCCTCCCCTATCCAGATCCCCGTTTCTTTAATCTTGACCTTAGGTCTTTCCCCATGCTTCAGTTTGCTAGGACGCCAGTTCCCGCCGCCAGACAGAGTCAGCTCAATGCGTTATGCGCGGGAAATGAACATTGTTGTATGTAGCCCCAATAAACAATCAAGCAACTCAATACCCTACTGAGGGAAAGCCTAGGACGAGTGGTGGACACTACCCGAACACGGACTGGTGGTCGGCAGTCGGTAGTGGGAATTTAAACAAACACATGACTGAGTTTTAGTGGAAAAGGAAGATAAGTGTTCGGCTGGGTAGAAATCCATCAGAGCGAGGGATGGCACGTAGATGCTTGTGTATTTTTTGTTGTATTATTGGTATTATTGGTGCAGTGAAATTGGTTTGAAGGTCTGCGGCTTCGCGAGGGGCCGAATAAATGTCATTTGTAGATAACCAGTATAACGCCTTTTGGGGCGACTAACGGAGCGAGCGAGAGGGTGAGCCTTGCACGTGCGAAATTTCGAGGGGGTACCTCTAGCTGACTTGTGCACGGCACTCTACTAACCGGTCTCTAGCGATATGCCAAATTTGAGCACAATCCACCCAGCCGTTCTTGAGATCTGGAAGCGGCACCCTGCACGTGCGCACGTGCAAAATGGGTCCCAACTGACTTGTGCACGGCACCCTACTAACCGGTCCCTAACCATGTACCAAATTTGAGCGCCATCGGTCCAGCCGTTCTCGAGATCTGGAATCGACCCCTGCACGTGCGCACGTGCAGCAGCACCCCAACTCTGGCACATGTATATGCATTGCCTAGTGGGTGCCTACCTACATGCCAACTTTCAGCGCAATCGGCCAAGTACTTACCGAGAAATTGCAACAATTACAAAAGTGACACCTCTTCGTTTTGCACGTGGCACGTGCATAAGGGGTCACCCGCATGCATCGGAAATAGTCCAATACTTGGTAGAAGGAATGAAGCTACCCTACAAAAATTACCGCGTGTAAATCGGTCAAGTGGTTGCTGAGATATAAGCGTCGCAAAAGCGTGACCACGGCCGGCCGGCCGGCCGGCCGGCCGCTCATACTCAGAAATTTCCGTTAATCTAAGGAAAGACTCCGCTCGCTTCGCTCGCTCCGTAACGAGTCTTGATAATCGTTTAAGTAAGTAATTATCACAACACTAAGCCGGTCATTCCATAAGTTCATTACCTGGGCTGATGATATATCATTAAATGGGATTGTAGATGAGCCGTTATAAGCTCTGTTGACTCGGGGCTCGGCAAACGTTGCCCTTTCCCTGTCGCGGTACCATCCTCTCAATAATCCCGTATCGCCGCTCCATTGGCGGCCCTCAGCGTCGATCCGGGCTGCATGCGGGCCGCTTTCTGCACACATTTCGTGCCGCCAGATTGACGGCCACTTTGCCGACGCGACAGCCCCCGTCGGCCGGGTGCTACGCTCGCTCGCTCGTCAGGGCTGTGGATTCTGAGTAAAAAACTGGTTTAGGGGATGTGTAGTTGCTTCGAAAGATGGGCTCTCAGATAACAATGCAGTGTTGATGTTCACAGTCTGATAAGCGACTCGGCCCCGTCGATGGAAGAGGAAACCTGTCCGTACTGTGATAACAGTATGTCCACATTGCCTGTGGAGAGGATAGTCCATTGGAGCCTATGCATCTTCGAGCACAAGAAGACCAAAGGTGGGTGTCTTGACGGATATAGGCGGTATGAGAATCCTCCTCGTGGTCAGGCGTAGACGGCCGTTATATCTCCTTTTGCTGCATTTTATGGTAATGCAAATGCGAGTTTTAGTCATGAGATATGACTGAGACTCGCAGTCGTTCTGGTAAAATGATCCATCAAACATATGCAACAGCGTCGGCTGTGGTATTTGTGCCACAGCTGCGGTCTATATTTGCCGCGCGGCCGTTTCATTCTCGCTGGGATGGTGTCGTTTTCAGACGAGTCTGCCACCGCTGACGCCGAGGGGGTCGCCACGGAGCCCCAGGGACCGGTCTGTGAAGAGTGCGGCGTCTCACTGGAGGGAATGACTGGCATTCAGATTCTGAGGCACCGTAGATCCCATCGTCCCATCCAGCCTGCTGGCGAGGGGTGACCGCTGCTAGTTATACCTACTACTGCTGAATCTGACCACTGTGATATAAGCCTCAGGGACTGCCCTGGCGGCTAACCATGTGATACTAGGTCAAGTGTGCGTTTTGTAAATGTTTGTTACGGATACACTCAAGTTTACGAGTGAACCATAGATCAGTCGAAAGCTGTAATGTGTAACGGTCCGTTGCTAGCGGTATGACATCACCGACCTATGGTCGAACTGCCGTCAGAGCCCGACGCTCCGGCGGTTATTTGAGCTGATATCCGCTCCCCCGCCGCAGTATAACTCGGTACGACTCGGTATGGCTCACTCGGCTCTGTGGATCGGTCGGAACCGCCCGCTCCGGCCCTCACTCGAGCCGAGATTAAACAGTAACTGTTAGGTTCGTCAGTCGTGTGCCGGGCCTGGTATTGTCGGCGCCACCGGATGGAGATCGTCAAATATAGACCGATTGGTACTTGTGGTTTGATGGGGTCAGCTGCCACGGATGAGAGAGAGGGAGGGGAAGGGAGGGAGAGAGGGGGAGTGGGGAGTAATGGGAAGGGAGGAGGAAAGCTGATGCTGAATATGATTGGATATGTGGTAGAGGAAATGGTGACATTGTAAAATTTAGTTATTTCGAAAAAAAAATCCAGGTCATGCCCCATCATAGGTATGCGACGTCAGAGAAACTTAGAATCGAACCATCGCTCCAGCAGGTAGTTTTTGCCGGACGTCTTTGCTGAAGTGAGCGTTATTAGGGTAAGTGATCGTTTTTGGGTATTGCGTTGGGTGTGCACGCGCCAATGTGGACACTAATTGCGATAAACGAGTCTGGTGGAGTGTCTCCCGAGGCACGCGTGGTGCAAACAAGAATGGTTTTCGTTTGGACGTCCTGCCGGAATTAGCGTTTCGGGCCGGAGGTAAACAACGACTTCAGTTTAACCCTATTCCTGGCGGGCTCCGCCGGGACAAGAAACTGGCGGGGGGGGGCCGATTCGGCCCCCCCCCCTGAGATCTCGAGAACGAAGCAAGATAGCGACAAGCGGTAAACGGCATCGGATACGCACGGCCAAGATCTACAATTTTTACTAAGGTCATTTTCAGGTCAGGTCAAAGATGACGTCACAGGGGTCGAAAAAGTCAAAATGGCGGCACTAGATATGGAGAGTTTTTCTCGAATAACTTTCGAATTAGTCCAGATAGGAACAAACTAAGGGCATCATCGTGATCCTCTCGTCAATCCGCATCGAATGATATATATGTTGACCTCGAAAGGTCAAGGTCAAAGGTTGACCTCAGGTCACGTGACCTCGAGGTCATCATGTATATCATTCGATGCGTCTTGACGAGCTGAACACAATGAGACCATCCACGCGTCTGTATCTTGTTCCTGTACGGAGTTATTGGCCAAAAACCTTTGGTGACCTTTGATGACGTCACATGACCTCACAGCTGCCCAACAGCAAAACAGACCTCAAGGTAGTGAAGGTTGATCGTATATGAAGTCATGTATGGTATATGGGGCCATTCCGACCCGTTTTAGTGGTAAAAACAGGGAGTTGATTTTTCCCCCATTGACTTATAATGGGGAGGTCGCGAAATTGACCTGACCTTAGGTCACCGATATCAAAATTCCGAGATATACAAATTGCACATACTGGTACCCTAACTAAACCCTGAAGAGAAGAAATTGATCGGTCAAAAACTCTAGCTCTGGCGTGATTGCAAACTTTTCTGAGGTAGCGTCACCAAACCGCCTCTGGTGACCTGACCTGAGGTCAGATCAACTCAAAATTTTCAGACATGTTGCGTAGAAGCCTTTTAGGAAAAGTCAGAAAATTTGAGCTTCCTAGCTCAACGCGTTTGGGAGATATAACCAAAAACCCTCAGGGGGGGGGCTCCTGAGGCCCCCCCCCCGCCAGGAATAGGGTTAACTTTGGACCAACGTGATCTTTGGTAGACCAAATAAATATCGGTAGGCCAAATCACTTTCTGGTGGAACAGTGCCTGAATAGACCTACGGGGATACAAGCCCCTCTCGT